TTCAAAACTTTGATCTGTACGTGAACGAACAAATGCTTTTTGATTGCACCAAAGACCTTCAATTGCGTTTAGTTCACAGTGATATTTAGGGCAGTATATAATCTTAACATTATATTTGATCGCTAGCATCTCAAGTTTTGTAACCTAGACAATACAGTAAATTATATAGGATGAAGTATCTTTCAAAATATGGAATGACTTTCACTTACATTTTGAAAAGCTCAATGTTTCTGAATATCGAATATTCATGAATATCGATATCCATTCGATATTCATCATCAGATGAATCGCTTGAATCCGAAATCTTTACATTTGACCAGCGACGAGCTGATGCACCGCGCGATTGACTTTTCCTTTTATTTCCTCTAGGTATACCGAACTAACTTAGTGTAGCTGCAAAAGATATTATCTTAAAGAACGACGTATGTTATAAGTGCTTCTGCTTATACCATGGTTTTCGAGGAAAGGTTTTCTGGGGACTTTCGAAGGGTCTCTAAAGATCTCAGAAGTATGTTCATTCGATTTTTCAGCAGTTTTTACCTATATGGACAAATTTTCACTCAGTTTGGATGAAAAAGATGCATTTTATTTAAAAATGACCTTTCCCTTTATCCTATGGTATCAGTAAACACGATTTTTTTCGACAAAGAAAAGGAAAGAGAAAAAAAGCGATGCGTAACTTTTTGACTGGTGGTATGATGAGTCGAATGAGATAAAATATTTGCCTCCATCGCTTGTGTAGAAAAACTAGATAGGTTTACAAAATCGACCTATACCTAGTGGACTCGACGAGATTCGAAGCGCCACCACGAATAGAGTTTTGGGTCTGGTATCAATTGAACAGCTTTTTTATATTCAGTTTTTGATGCTGAATCTGAAAAAATTATTTTTAGAAGCTGGAGAAAAGAGCGAAGTAGAAAACTTTGCATATTTCGAAAAATATGTGTTTTTCTCGAAAAACGACACCTTTCGAGTATTCCGTATTTTCCGATTGGAAGGGAGTATTTGCTAAGGCTAAAAAGTAGTTTTTCGTGATCAGCAGCTCAAGCTCTATCAAATGGTGTAAAAGAACTCGAAAACAAAATTTTTTACTGAAAATTCGCATTGCCTGCACCTTACTATGGAAATATCCTCGTTCTCTTTGACGAATTTAAAACGTTTTGCTCTTTTCAACTTCAGACGTCAGCTGAGCACATATGAAGTGTACGGTTAAGAAACGTGACAAAAGACGGTCCTATGGTCGTGGTCGCCTACATTAGAAATTATGCAGAAAAGATGATTGCAGATGTATAGAGAGATTCGACAGGAAATGATCATGAGTATGATCTTGTAAGATAAGACGGATTCTTATACGGTCATATAGAAGCTTGTCACTTCCCAGGTGGAAGACGTCTCAGTTCGTGTTAATCTAACTAGTTAGATCTTGTCACTTCTTGCACGATCATAGAAGATCTTGATACAAGAAAAATCTTGTAAAATGTTATAAGATTCTTGAACCTAGATTCTTCTGAAATCGTTTCAGATCTTGTGAAATTTTCATAGGATCTTGTAAGAGCTTGTGAAATCTTGTAATATGACCTTACAAAGATCATATTTCAAGATTCTGCATCCTGCGTAGTCAAACTGTCGTTCTTCAGTTAGCTTTATGGATCAAGAAGGCACTTCTATCTCAGATCAGGTCTAAGAGCTCTCTCACGTCAGTTTAACAGGATGATTTTGCAAAAAATCAAAAGATATAAAATTGCATTAGACTGAGAAATATAGTGGAGAGTTTAGCTAAAACTCCACTCCACCATTGTGACCTACGGCTTATTTCAGGCATTCAAGGTGATTGTAAAAGAACTTGCTGTAGTGGTACAGTTTTACTGAATTTTGAATACTGAATAAATGCGCGCTAAGGTTCAAATTAATCACGAATGCTCGCCTAACGATCATGCCAGGAAAGTTAACAAAAGAAAAGTAACGTGGATACTTGTGACTAGTTTCATTCGATCAAATAGCGATAAGAAGCTAAAAACTAGCAAGATTGTTTTTGTTAGTGTGAAAACATTTGGTCTTTACCATGACGGTCCTGAATCTGTACGTTTGAAGTATGAGACCAAGCAGTGATCGAGACATGAGTCATTATTTGGTGTTTTTCCTATCTACTATAACATTTCCTGTTACTGATATATTAGAACGTCGTAAAGTACAAACAGTTTCAATAACTCTATAAAAAATTCAAGCTTTTTTTAATGCTTTTAGCAATTATCAAGGAATAGAACGAGGCCGTATTAGTCTTTCCTGTTTTTTCCTTTTTAATTGCCCGATCGTCGTATCTTCGATCATACAGACATTTATTTCTTATGATCGCTAAACATCAAAACTACGTTTTATGGGTTTTAAAATGTTATTTAAATGCATAAGGTTTGCGAGACGTGCATAATTGTACTAAATTCTTTACCGATGCTGATTGACTTCAGTGTATTTCTATTTTATGTACTTTTGACCATTATACAGATCTCTTCACGCACGTAGTTACATCGTAATTATTTTATTGGGAAACAAATGTGTTTCTGAAATCATCACACAACAATACTGTTTAGTCATGTCATCTAAAATTGATAAAACAAAACAGTATAATATTATTGCTGATTATAATATTTCAAAAATTAATGAAATAATAGATAATGTACAACTGTCTGATATTATTGACGAGGATTCGTTACTTTACAAGATTATCCATAATTATCGTTCGTTACGGCTCGATTCGCTCACGATATTATTTTGCACCATTATATCATTGCATCATTGAGGAGATGATTCGAAAACGTATGATCGTGGAACAAGTAGTTTGAAGTTTTTAAATCAAATGGGAATCCTCATTGGAGAATCAGGTAAGATAAATTATTCAGTTTTTCGAAGATATATGTTGTTTTCCGTTCACAACAATCAGTCCTATAGTCAGTGACACTTCGTTCATTATTTTTCTATAGCATGGAAAAAGCGAATATGTTGCTTTAATAAGAAAAGCTTTCGATTTCCTTGGAACCATATTTCATGATCAATCTGTTGAATATGACGAACAGCAACAACCAACTCATTATTCAACATGTATTGAATCAACAACAGACGCCAAGATAATTGCCATACTGCAGCATTCATCGAAGTTTTTGGCTTCGGATGAAGATGGTCCACTAACATCAATGGCGTTCTTTGAACCTGGTACACTGACAGCAGCAGCAAAACAATCAACATTCTTAACGGCATAGAATGGAATATATGATATGAAAAAGGTCAGTATTCTCTATTATTGATCGATGGTATTGGACACTCGGTGTTTTCTTGATTTGCTTTATTCATTTTGTAACTTTCCTCTCGACTTTCAGGATACAATGACATATTCAAAGCGTGTACAAAATAAATCTTTGTCGTTTCTTGTTCCATCAACCGGCTCAAAATTTTCAACAATATTAGAATATTTCGATAATGGTAATACAACTAGTGGATTATTTGAACGTTTTTTGTATTATGTAATCACACCAACATCAGTTAGCAATCCAATACGTTATGGACATGAACAACAATTAAATACAAAATTACCTGCGTTAGAATGCGTATTTATAACAAGATATTTGATGGGAAATCGTGTTTATATGTTTGATGATAAAGAATACGAATTTATCAA